TAGCTCACTTGGAAGACCTTATTATTGATGTAAATACAAAACTCGCAGCAGGTAAGTTCTGCTGCTGGTCGCTAAAAACCACCACAAATTGGACGACGTTGTTAGCCACAGAATTACAGCCACCATTTCTTGATTCCACCAACGGTTTCCCTGCGAACTATAGTCAGAGGAACGAGCGCAAAAATTCTATACTGATGACGTGACACTATTCTGTGCTGGTAAGTGCTTCTGATTGGTTGGAAATTCACTTCAAACAATAAGAAGCACTATCCAGATCTGGGTAGTGACAAGTTATCGGTGTGGAATTTCTGCGCTCGTTCTTCAGACGTCATTTCGCGGGCAAACCGTTTGTGGCGTCGCAAAATGTAGGCTATTTTTGGTTCATCTAAATCAGACGACATTTCGCGACGCTACCAACGGTTTCCCCGCGAAATGACGTCTGAGAAGCGAGCGCAGAAATTCCACACTGATGACGCGTGAGTGCCAAGATCTGGCTAGTGCTTCTGATTGGTCGTGCCGCCTGTGAAATTTGCTTCAACCAATCAGAGGCACTACTTAGATCTATCTGGGTTGTGTCGCGTCATCAATATGGAATTTCTACGCTCGTTTCTCAGACGTCATTTCGTGGGAAACCGTTGATGGGGTCGGGTAATGTCGGCTGTTTCTCAGGCTAATCTAACTCGGCTCTGACGTCAAAAAATATTACAACCAAGAAAATGTATCACTAAGTAAAATAACCAAGACATGTAAAGTTACTATATTAAAGAAAACAGTCACTAATGTTAGTATTTTGTATGGTCTAGTATTTATTCTAACATAATATTGCCAACCAACTAAAGAAACAAAAATTCCTACAGAGCGCTCTGTAGAGTGAATAACATTATTTTTATGCTGTGAACTACTAAATGTTTCAGAACAGTTCTTCTACCAAAATGTTACGCTTTATGTGAGAGGAGCCTGAGTTTCAAAATAGTACCCAAAATCGAACGCAAGCATGGTGACTTCACATTATTTTTGTGTCAATCAATATAGCATCTACCATGTGGAGAAATAAGTTATGGAAATAAGTGAAAAATGAGAAAAATAGCTGATCTAGAAACACCATAAATGCTCGAATTGGCTCCCAGGCGCGGTGGATAACACCCTCCTCGATCTACATAATTTTTCATATCATAATCCGCCTCATCCAATAATTGCTAAATATATGGCTGATTAAATGAAGGCTGCTTTGGGCAATGTCAATTCTTGGTTTGCAACCATGTGACATGGTGGCCATGTTGGGGGTCAAAACAATGGAATTTTTCCTTTAAGAATTTACATGAAAATAGAGTTTAGTTCCCAGAGGAGAGAAATGCTTTTGTTCTTGATCACCAACATGGCTGCCGTGACGTCACATGCAAACCAGCAATTGCACACTGGAGAGCTATTGTTTGGTGGTCACACAAGGAAATCATGGCAGTGAGTTCCGTATGCCCAAATATCCAATGCCCAATTGCCAATACCCAGTGGCCAAAGCATCATTTAATTGAATTATGCATAAAACCTAATTCAATTGCTGGTTTGCACGTGACATCACGGCCAAGAACAAAAGCATTTCTCTCCTCTCTGGCAACTAAACTCCATTTTCATAGCTAATTCTAGAAAAAAAAGTGTTTATTGTATCGACACCAACATGGCCCTCTCGTCACGTGGCTGCAAACCAAGAATAAAGGTTTCTTTGACAATAATATTGGTCATTGGCAATTGGGCACTTGGACATGCAAGAACAGAGTTCACTGCAATGGTTTTCTTAAAGGGGCTATGTCACCCCACATGCATGCGCGAGCCAATGAAAACAAACTTGAAAAAGACGGCCCAACTTTTTCAAGTTCTGTCGGAGATTTTGGAAGGCTGTTTTTATCTGTTTAAATCTCAGCCATCGTTCGATAGATAGCGAAGTTTTGTATTAAGAATCGTTCTATGGTGATTACAGAATAATTTTTTGGCGTTATTTTGAAATTGTTTGCCTGTGGAATGTTTTTACGT